GGCTGAATTGCACAAAACGCATGATCGCACCGGCTAGTCTGGTGCGCGTTGCCATTTATTACTATCATTCCAACCATTTTCGACAACGACGAGTGGCGGACGCGACGACGAACGGACAACAACTACGGACGATGAAGCGACGAGACGCTGCTCATCTTTTCTTGTATTATTCTTTAATGCATTTTTATATCCGCGTATATTCGACGTTTATTCGTTCGTGTCACGCGTATTGTCCATGAATGATAAAGGTATTACCCAAACATGAGGTAATCGACGATACAACGAGTGGATCTGCGGTTGGTTAATACTGTACGACGGAACAACATTAGCTGATCTAAGAATCAACGCCTGGTGGTATTCACACTGTCTGCTAGCCGCCGAAGTTTGGGAATTTAGCAATATTTGCTGGCAGTATAATTACTTCGCTAGCTGGAGATAAATGAGGACACGAACCAGGAATACAATTATTTGTTGTGGGGCAAAGTGAGCTGAGGAACCAACAAAGCAGTCCTCCTTCACAACAAATGTGACCAGTACTTAATACCTTTTATTTTCTTTTTTTCTTCTGTTATACTTTATCTGCAAAACGTAGCTGGAATTGTGTTATAAAATAAAAATTTATTGCGCTGTCATCATTATGTTTTATGTTGCTTGGCTCTGTTACAGTTTGTGCCCAAAAAAGAAATCCTGGAAGATGGTAAAGACAAACAGAGAGTCATTTTGATTTGTTGACAAAGTTCACTTTTCTGATGATTTTAAGAGAAAACGCCTTCAAACCTGATCAAATTAGCTTAAGGCGATAAAGGCAAAAAGCACATGACCGATCCTGCAATACCTCGTCTTCGAGCATTTGCAGGAACACTCGTAAAAATTCGGAAAAATTAGCAAATCTGGAAGCTTAGAAGAACCGTTCCTGGAAAATATAATTTTTTATTGATGACTTTTTTCTCTCATTTTCGCAAAAAAAATTCCTTCATCATAATAAAACGCTACTAAAAGTTAACTGACTTAGCAAAATTATTCCCAAGAATGTTACTGAATGGAAAGCTGGGAGTAATTTTCTAGTTTTTCCTAGCTTTTTTGGTCCCTAGCTTTTATGATTTTCGAGTTAGTGAGTCGAAACTTTCACGCTCGTCATGAGGCGGAGCGTGCTTGGAGGCTGATTTTGAAATTACGAGTACTGCATACGATCACGCAATATTCCTTTAAAATTTCAACACCCTAGTTCTCATGATTCTCTGTTTATTAGATTTGTCACTAAGATCTTCACTTGTCCATAAATGTGATATATGTGGGAAATAAGTTTATACGCGCCAGGGAGTGCTATCCTAAGATTTCGGTCTTCCAGCTTTTGTCCCGGATTATTAATTTCAGTGCCAAAATTTCCGCGTGCCTCTACAAATGGGAACTAGGTATGCGGAAGATGTATTTAATAATAAAAGCATCATGAAAAATTGTTGCATGGGAAACATCGTCGATTTCACAGTCGACGATAAGAGAAAGAGACAAAATACTTTACAGAAAACGTTTTACAAGAAAATAAAAAAAAAAACATCTTAAAACGCATGAAAACGTTTTGTAGAAAGCGTGTAATTTAACATAAAACAATGTCGCCATTTGGCGACAAAATTTCAGTTCCTAGCTTCTCTAGTTCTTGAGTTGAAAGCCCCAGTCGAAATACGCTCGGAACACACACGCACATACACAGGGTCTCGACAATCTGCATTTCATACAATTGTGGTAGCACAAAATGCATAAAAATAATTTTTCTAGGCACCCATTTTCCACAGAATCAGCATTTCGTTTTAGAAGAAATAACGGGTTGTCATAGAATACTGAGGTTTCTTTTTTTGCCAGTGTTCCTCAAATTTGTGTTTTGCCAAAAAAAATTTTTACGACCATTTTGGTATATCTTGCATAGTAACCGATAATATTTCTGCCATATTTCTGTGGCAGACCATTTCGTAGATAGTCATAATTCCTTTAGACCAAATTTTGTCATAAATAATCTCTCACCAAACAGGCATTTGATTTTCCTAATGTTTAAGAAGTATGCCACTGTCCGCATCTGCCGGTTCTCAAAAGTAATGCTTCGCAGAGAACTGCGTATGGCTAACAATATGTTTTGCGCGCTGCGAAATTTTATAATGGTTTTCAAATCGGACAAATTTTAGCTTGAATTTTTTATAAAAATCCAAAACCACCTGCAGTGGTAGCATAAAATTATTCAATTTTGCATTCATATGTTAGAGGTCCGTATTTTAAGGGAGTAGACCAGCTTGCTGTTTGGAGGCGGACGTTCAGAAGAAAAAAGAAGCAAAGTTGAAGTTTCTTCTGATCTTACAATGGATCTTTTTTGCCATTTCTGTGTTTAAAAATTTGGAGAGAATAGAACAGATGAGAAAATTATACACGCAAATATGTGGATTGTGAAAGATTCAGGTTAGATGGATGCGAAAGAATTAATTGCAATAAAAGCAAACAAAATACAATTCGAAAAGAAACGTATGAAACAATTACAAATGTCCATGCTTGGAATTTGTACCGAATCATTTGCTATCGGTTTTACCAACTAGAGCTCTTCAAAATCATACAATATTTTCGCCAATTACCCCATCATGGCCCCAGGAAGTCGTCAGAAAGCGGCCACGATAAACGGGGCAGTGGAGGGAAGGATGCTTGGATGTATTCGTAATCAAACAGTTGAATTTCTCTTCAAATCAGTGGCACGCAGGATGTCGTTGCGACTAGGCGAAAAGTAATCCGAGTAGGACGTATTATTACAATACTGACCCTCAGTGGGCGTCACGAACTAGTAGACGGTATCCGCGAAAAATAAGAACCACTCGAGCGACCCCCGAAAAGTTCCCCCGCATGAGCATGGGGTGCTATTGGGTTGGCTCAGTTGCATTTGATGTGTGAGAGCATTCCACCAACACTGATATTTACAGTGACTCTCTGGATGACCTCCGTAATCTTAGTAATTGAATCAACAGCATTGTCTGCATATTTCCTAAACATCAACTGTGGCATAAAAATCAAAACCCAGGCTGGAACCCACCAGGTTTGTTGGCGAGATCATGCGTTTTTTGCACTAAACTCGCAGGTCGCTAACAGAAGGACTGATCCTTGCGCTGTATCCTAACACACTAGAATTCATATTGGCCGCGCTCTGGCCTCTTTCGCCATGCAGGAGAAAGGGCGTCGGTTGGGATAAAAGTGTTGCATTGTAGGGCCGCACGAGCCTCCAGGTGCATGTTTACCAGTTTTTTGCATGCTCGCTTTCTGAAAAAACGCAAATTTTCAGGTGGAATTGTTGCTGGAGCGGTCGATCGTTCGCTGCAAAATGCACTCGTTTCTAATTCTTCAGTAAAGTTGAGTATTTTTCGTAGCCACTGCAAGGAATTCCACTTTCAAGCAGAATTAAGACAGCACTTGAAAGTGGAATATCCCAGCGAATTTTCAGCCTTGCACCTTATCCGGTAAGCGAAACATCCACTTCGCTAAAAATACCTCTGAAGTGTCGCATGATCGCGTCACAAACCTGGTGCGTTCCAGCCTGGGTTTTGATTTTTATGTGAAGTTCTAAGTCGTGACGCAAGTAAAAATTCGTACTCATTTTGGGTATACAATTTCCCACATGGCGATAAACATGCCCACAAATTCCAGCCACTGTTTTCCGGCAAGTTTTCTAATTACCATAGTACCAAGTTGCAAACTTTGACGTGATAGTATGCGCTGCACACGCGTGCGCGACAGCCGAATTCAAAACCTTTAGTTTGCATATGCAAGAGAATATCCCTGCAAAGTTTCAGCTCTGTACCCTGCCTGGTTCGCGAAATCGTTTCCCGCCAAAAAAATTTGCATTTCTTTGGTGGGTCCGTACGCAGCAGTCTAGGCATATATGAGCGAAAATTTTAAAAGGGACGATGACACACGGAGTAGGAAGATATACTCAAAATTTCTGCCTCCCAGCTTTCCTGGTTGCTGAGATGAAAGTGGGTGACGAAGCTCACTCACTTCTGAGCACACACACACACACACGCAAGACGACCTCTCGACAATATGTGTTTTTGCTGGCTGTATAGCGCTGCACAGCAAAAACTCATAATGAAAGATCATAGGTTCTGAGATCATAAATCAATCTGGGGATGAAAATCGAGCAAATGTGCTTCAGCAGGGTAGAATATAAGATACAGAGTTGCACCATCATGTTGTTATTTCCCGAGCCTATCTTTATGCTGAAAGTGGGGTGGCGACTAATTTGCTCCTCAAATTTTGATGGTCCCTGAGAAGGGGGTTAATCTCTATAAGTATATCCACGCACAGCCGCCCAAATATTCTTACAGTTGCTGTATGCTGGATCTATTTATGGTGATGTAGCTAGTCAATTGCTTTTCGAAAATTTCAAAGCGCCTGACCGATATTTTCTCCTTATCTTTTTTTTGGCCAGCCTTTCTTTTCCTTCAGCCCCGGAAAATCATGGTACTTGGGCATGATTTAGCGTATTTCGATATAGACTGCCACATTTTGGATAAGGTTACCTCCGCCTTTCAGACCGCTTTAGCTCCAGTTTCAACTTATGTGCCATGGAAATTTTAGAGATATAAGCAGTGAACATCACCTTACTACTACGATTTCTGCACGCCGTCTAGAGAGGCACGCATTTCTAAATTGTGCGCTACTTCATTTTGAAATACCAGGGAAGCGCAATACGCACTTCAGCTTGTTGAGGCTCACTGCACTCATCATGTTTGCTGCTGATATCAATTATTTTGGTTTGAGTTCACAGCACTGAATACAGTGGATGACCCGATTCAGCGGTACCGTTGAGCAATAACTGGATAATTTGCGAAAAGTCACAATCGCAATCCGGATAAATGGCAGGCGATCAGTTCGTTCATGACTTTGCGACACACCAGATGCTGCAATCCAAGACCCCTGATTTGGCCAGAACGACAGAACACTTCGCATTGCGGCGCACTGCAACATTTGCTTTTTGTTTATATTTCGGTAACAAACATGAGGTGAAGGTATGCAAAAACAACATCGAAGTCCGTGAAAAAAGAGAATACGATGGTATTCTTGCAACTGTCTCTTATCGTTACTAAAACATGAGACAGCAGGCAATCTGTATATGGGTTGAGTTCTGACTACCTGAACTGCCTAAACAGTTCAGGATTACAATTCAGCTATGTGATTCGTATTCCCAAAATGCCATCTTCTATATTCGCCTCCCTATACTACGTGGTTTTAACGGCCAGACAAACATTCGTATTATTATTATTGTTATTATTATTATTATTATTGCTCGAGCAGTCCATGCTACAACTGTCCTGCATTTTTTTTTCAAAATGCTATTGCATAGCGGAAAATTTTATCAACTTATCTAAAGGTGGCCTCCGTTTTCCGAAAGAATGAAATTATTTTTCTAGCTATTCACAGATCGTTGCAAAGCTAAGCAAAAGTTGTGGCATTAGCTTGCAATTCCGTGAATTGGTCAGCCCAGCTGGGAACTTAAATTATTTGCTTGTAAGATGTTATGGCAAAGCCAAGTGGAAGAAGAAAAAATGAAGGCAAGAAGACTGACGAGGTTGAGTTGATCAGAATAAGTTGAGATTACGCGTTTCAGCCCATTAAGT